GTTCTGGAAGAAATGCAGAACAATGCGACATGAATACCAGATTAAATTAACTAGTAGCTCCAATGGCCACAGGAAGTCCTCAATTCTTAAATGGGAAGACAGGCTATTCCTTTTACAACTGGTTTTACCGGGCTGGCAAGTCGTTCCAAACTTATTTTAGAAAGTCCTCAGGGATAACTATTCCAGGATCTACTACCTGAAGGACTTACTACCAAGATTTCTAAGAATTGATCAGAATTATATCCACAATACACTTATTTATTTCCTTATTTACTGCTCTTTTTTAAGACAGAGTATCCCTATACAGTTCAGGCTGACCTTGAGATCGTTTTGTGGCCTAGGTTGGTCTCGAACTTGCAACGATCCTTCTGCCTCAGCCTCCTAAGTGCTGGGATGACAGGTGTGCACTACCATGTCTGGCCACAATACATTTTTGATCTCCAATTTTATCTCCCAATTCTTTCTTTTTTCCCCTATATTCTTTTGTCAAAGACAAAATTTACTTGTATCTAAATGTATCTAAATCTAAACAGGATGATCACATTCTAAACTCAACTTTTTTCTTTTATCTTTGTAAGACAGGGTCTCACTATGCAGTTCTGGCTGGCTTTGAGCCTACATTGCAGCCCAGGCTGGTCTCAAACTCCTAATGATCCTCCTGCCTCAGCTTCCCTAGTGCTGGGTTTATAGACACTTGCCACCATGCTGTGAAAAAAGCGACAGCATTTTCAGAGCTGGCTTGCTTCCATAATATTAAATTGTTATTTCTTCAAATACAGATTCTATCAGAGATGAAATGTGCATAGCATTTAAGGGAAAAAGCCCATTGTGTTCAGCAGAAAGTTGGCTTAATCCTCACAATGTCACTAAATTAGCCCATAGATTTCATTAGCAAAACAGATTTGATTGAGGAACACAGGGAAATCAATGAGTTTAAACAGTACAGATCTTCTGTGAAGAGATTTGACTACAAGGAGTCATTACTGCCACAGAAAAGATGTTCTTCTGACCAGGGCATTAAGTGGCCTGATTCCTCTTTGTCTCCTCAAACACCTTGTTGTGTCTGTCAGTTTGCAGTAACGTTTCCAAGTCTGCAGTGCTTTCCCAGCCCTGGAAGGAGATTGTGTCTCTCCTTGAGGGCTTTGGGTTTCAACAATTTTCAGAAATCAACTCAATTTCAAAGAAATTGGACAAAGAAGGCTTCCAACAGAGCAGCCCTTCTGACCTCCAGCAGTGCCATAGGTCGCTGCCATTTCTGACACACCAGGAAGGAACAAACAAACAAACAAACAAGCAAAACACACCAAAAACATGTCTGACACTTTCCATGCATTTCCCCCAAAATAATAATAATTTGGGTCATTTTTCTCATGCCTAAATCTTGTAACCTGAACAACTTCTAAGATAATATGCAATATATTAACTAGTGTTAATTTCCTACTTTTAAAAAAAATCTGTATCGTTTCTGGCTTTTTTTTCTGTTTTGCTTTAAAAAAAAAAAAGGTAACCACAAAATAATGATTTGCATGGAACAGAAACTGACATGCTTTTAGGATTGTACAGCTAGGCAGCCAGGTGCTATTCAAGACCTGTGACACTCCCTTCCTGTCTCCACTGTCACAGCAAAATGACAATGCTGTCTCCTCCCCACCCTGCAATCCTTTCTTGGTCCCAGCCGCCCTCACCTCTCCCTGCCCTGAACCTTCACAGCAACGTGTACGGAACTTTCCTGAGTAATGTGTTCCCTTCTGATCACGCCTATCACGGTGATTTGTGTACCTGCCTCTGCTGGGCTGCTAAGCTATTTTACACTCTAACAAGTACTGGGCAAGAGAATGAATGAATGAGTGAACTGGAGCATGAAATGCGGTCCTAACTCCAACTTTCAGAGAGTTCTTCATCATCTACAAAATAAAGCCAAAGCAGCTCTATCCACGCAGGCCACCTGGAGATAAGCCTCTTGTCTTATCAGAATGCAAGGGTTCACGCCTTGCTATTCTAAAATAAGATGGTAAATAGAAGAGTGACAGCCAGATGGAGTTAGTCCTGCTGTCATTAAACCCATCTACATAGCCATGCAGAATTCTGATTGCCTGTCCTGCCTTCTAGCAAGGAGTCACAAAGGAAAGAGAACACTTATGTGCTAGGTGTCAGGCAAATAAAGGTCTAAGAAACTGTTCCTGCAGGGATAAGGATGCTCAGAATATCTTGGACTCCAGAATGCAGATAAAGAGATGTGAAGGTGAGTGCAAAGTTTCATGGACCAGCAGGAGAATGGACTGCACTGGACACTACCTCTTGGTGTCAGACCCTACGAAGAAGGCTTACTGTACTCTTAGGAGACTATAGAAATAGCTGAATGGTGCTTCTTCTTAAGCCAAGAGTTACCATCGAGAGGGACTGATAAAGAAATCAGAAAGAAGAAGGAGGAGGAGGAGATGGAGGAGGAAAAGGAAGAGATGAAGGAAGAGAAGGAGGAGGAGGAGGAGGAGAAGGAGAAGGAGATGGAGAAGAAGGAGATGGAGAAGGAGAAACGAGACGGAGATGGAGATGGAGAAGGAGATGGAGATAGAGAAGGAAGAGGAGATGGAGAAGGAGGAGGAGAAGGATGGAGAGAGAGAGAGAGAGAGAGAGAGAGAGAGAATGCAAAATATGCACACAGTGAATGGCTAGTTCCTTCCAAGCCGTGCTCTCTCTGGAACATTTCTTGGACTCCCTTGGTCTAGTGAGGCTCTCCTTCATGTGTGAATCATTCACATCTTGCACAGACATCAACACACCTTTATTAAAGCCTCCTCCAAGGCTTCCTGCCAAGGCTTCCTGCCCAAACTCATCTGTCTCAAATAACCATCGAGCTGCCCACCGGTTAACCACCATTTTCTTGTGGGCAGGAAGCACGTCTTACATTTGTTTATTTTTTGCTCCATATACTGCAGATGCTCCATCAATGTTTTTTACACAAACTTATGAAAGAAATCAACCCATGTGCCATCTGTGCATAACTTTGGGTTTAAGCTCTGAGTCCTTGGGAGGCTGTGAAATATCGGGAAGGTGGAGACACGAAAGCACTGTCTGCACTTTCTTGCTTTGTGCTTGCAAAAGTTAAGCCACACATTTTTCTGCTTTGGGTATTGTGTGGCTTATTCAGGCAGCCGATGGGCTGAGGAACACCAAGGTGCCTCATACCTGTGGCTGGTCACATGATTCACTGCGCTCCCTGGCAAAAGAATCATCCCTTCCAGATGTTCAGGCACCTGCACTGCAGATGTGGTTGGGGGGACCTAAACCCTGTCCTCTTAATCATCTTCTTTGTGTCTTTGGGAGATGGGCCACTGTTCTAGAGTTAGACACCTTTATTGTGCACACCCTGTGTAAACCACAAGCTAGGTGTCATTTCTCCTGCCCCAAAGACTAGCAGGATGCCTGGCCCATCAGGGAAATGGTGTAGGCGATGCTTGGAAAGATTCTGCATTAGCTGCAGACATTATAGTGGGTTCAGGTAGGCTGTAGAGAAAATCTTCAAAAAACTAGAACTAGAATTTCCATTTGACTCTGACACCCCTCTTCTGGTTAACACCATCCTGTCACAGTGATGTGTCCATAACCATGTTTATAGCAGCACAATGTATAATCGCTAAACCTTGGAAACAACCCACATGCCCAACGATGGATAAAGGGGTAAAAGAAAATGTGGTGTTTATATATGATGGGGTACTGCTCTGCCGTAAAGAAGCACAAACACAAGGTATTTTAAGGTAAACGGATGCACTTGGAAGCCATAGCTTTAAATGAACTAAACCAGACACTCAAGATTAAATACTTCATTGCTTCTTTTGTGTGTGAGATGCCCCAAGGAACAAGATGGAGGGTAGATGTGAAGTCAGAAACACTCAAATAGGAGGATGACAAGAGTTGGGAAATGGGAAGGGATGGAAGGGAAATGGGATTTTAAAAAGAGAACAAAAAGGGAGAAAATGAAAACAAAGCTTTTGTAAACTTTGAGGGGAAGGAAGATAGAAAGGCGGGGAAGAGCATGGGAAAAGAACTGAGGTCTATTAGGTCCAGATACAGATTCCCTGGGTGATTGTGATGGTCACTTTGTAAGATGAACACATATTAATAAAATGAACTGTAAAAAGTGAATCAGTGGATCGTGAGGTGGGGGATGATTCTGAATTACCTGCTTGAGACCAGTATACTCACAAGGTTCCTCTTTATAAGAGAGAGGTCAGAAAAAGTGAAGGTGATGAGCAGGATATGGGGGTTAAAAGGAGGTTACGAGGAGCTTTGCAGATATGGAATTGTGGTCCTTAAAGGTGGAACCAGAGTCAGTGAGTCAAGAAATGAGAACAGCCCGGGTAAACTGGCAAAGGCCAGGAAATCGTTTCCGCTGGAAAGGACACAGTCCAATGGGGCGTTGTGGTGCACACCTGTAATCTCAGCACCCGGGAGGCTGAGGCAAGAGGATCCCTGCAAGTTTGAGGCCAGCCTGGGCTTCAAAGTGAGCTTTAGGTCAGCCTGAACTGCATAGTGAGACCTTGTCTCAAAAAGACACACACACACACACACACACACACACACACACAGAGAGAGAGAGAGAGAGAGAGAGAGAGAGAGAGAGAGAGAGAGAGAGAGAGACTCCTGCTGCTATCTTGATTTTAGACCAACGGAGATAGCCACGTTGAACGTTTGCATCTCAGATCTAGGAGTTATTACAGCAGGCAGACAGGATGCGAACAGAGGGGGAGGGCCATTCAAGTTCTAACCAGGTGCATAATATGAGATGCTATTTGCAGTTCAGGGGTGCACAGCACCATTTCATGAATGGACATGGAACATGGGATTTTAAGGTGAGCAGAGAAGCTCACTCTGGTCCCCTAGGTGTGCACAGCACGGCGTGTAAGGAAGTCTTACATGCTACCAAGAAATGGAAGAAGAACAGAAAATCTCTAAGAGCGAGAGTAAAGCAGCTGCTGTTGTGCTGCGAGGCCACGTCTCACCTTTATAAATTCCGTTGCTTCCTCCATGCATCTCTCCTTTGCTCGTCACCTCTTCAACGTGGGCTCCCTGGTCTGATGTGAAGTAGACCAGGGTATTGTCGGCCAGTCCCAGCTCATCCAGGACATTCAGAACCTGCCCTGGAAGAGAGAGACAGACCACTTTAGAGAAGTTCCACCATCATGAAGCGTAGTTCATTCCTCAAGGCAGGAAGGCGGTATCTCTGCACCCTGAAGTGTAACACAATTGGAAAATGACCTGTCATGACATGGTTCTTAGAATGGCCATTCCAGCTGGCCCAGGCTTTGAGGTTCCAAAGAAGTAACCCACCCCAGGAGCAAATATGTCTGCAACTGTTTTGGAATGAACCTCATCTTGCAATATTTTGCAGTAGACACCCAAACCTAGAACTGTGCATCACAAATATCAATATTTCTCATGGTTTCTGTTTTCTTTTCTCTCCTCCTTCTCCCTTAGTCTAACACTGCTCGCCGGTCCAACATAACACTAACAGCAATTACAACAACAGTATTTCATGCAATCTGTTGATTGTTTGCCATAGGTGATAGGGTGTGTTTCCTGTTCTGTGGTGTGTACCCCCAGGAACCCTTAAAGTCACAGCTGCTGTTTTACTTTACACAAAAAAGCAATAGTGCTGTAAAAAGAGAAGAGAGCTGTTCCAGTTCAGAGACACAGGAAGGAGGGGAACAGAAAGTAAGGGTTAAGTCAGATTCTAAAACTCAGACTGCTAAACTCTGAACAGATCAGTGGGTGGATTTAGCAAGCCAAGACAAAGAGGAAAAAACAAAACAAAACAAAAGATCTTGAAGAAGAAGGAGGAGGAGGAGGAAGAGGAGGAGGAGGAGGAGGAGGAGAAGAGGAGGAGGAGGAGGAGGAAAAGCATTTCACAGAGCTCTCTGGTCACACCCATGGATGAAATGCTGTCGCTGACAATGATGTCAAAAGATGTTCTTCTGAACTAAGGCTAGAACAGGGCAGGTGAGTGCGGAGAGTGAGGAGGTCAACCTGAGTCCACAACTGCTGTATATGGAAGAAAAGCACACAAATAACTACTCTACTGTTCCACTTCTATTCATGCTTACAATTTTCCTTAGGAAACCAGGTGTCATGGTACCTGCCTACACTCTCAGCAGACAGGAGGCTAACACAGGAAGCTCACAAGTTCAAGGTCACTGTTGGCAACTGGATGAGACTCTTTGCTCAAAACAATATTGTTTGATTTTTAAAGAAAAGCAAAAATAAAAAAATAAGTAAATGAAAGCCAAAACAAGATTTTACTTCATGAGAAACACAACAGACTCAACAGAAGCCACAATGGCCCTTTAAACAGAAGACAATGATAGCCCAATCAGAGAGGAACAGTACAGAATTTCCCTCCAGATCACACAGTTACACACTGCTGGTTTGCAGTTCAGGACCACAGTACATACAGCTGGACTTCAACTGGCACAGCAGGCTCTGAATCCAATATCTATTTACATCCATTGTTATATACAAGTCACACATTTCATGAGGTAGATGGGATGTTTCGAAACAGGTATGAGATGCAGTTAAATAAAAAAGTCAAGTGAATATTTAAATTAAAATGGATCGGGGGTCCTCCTGCTCCTGAGCATGGTGATTGGGCGTTTACCTTGCATGCATAACGTGTACCACCCTTGAGCCTTGCGACAAGTTCAGCGCATTATCCCTCTGACTTGAACTGGGAAAAGGCAAACAGAGTAGAGCAAAAGACACATGGTTACGAAGCCCCCTCAAACGCTACCCCCTCCTTCAAAAACATTCATCCCATCATTCTAGTGACCTTGCGCAGCACGCAGTGCCTGCAAGAGTTCTTCCACACACGTCTTTAGGTGGGCCGTCCTGGCTGCCTCAGTGTCCTAAATGCATTCCATACACTGATCCTTCGTGGTCCTTTTGATGTTGGGGGAGTGTCAGAAGTCACACGGTGCCAGCTCCGGTGAATACGGTGGGTGTCAGGATGCACATGGTGTCATGTTTCTATGAGCTCGCCTTTCCCTGGGATGCCACTTTGCAGCAGAGTCCAGTATATTTTTATCACAACTCGTAAAGATGCTAGAGCAAAAGGACTTCTGTAACTGCTTCCAAAAGTAGCAGGAATGATGGCAAGGTATGTTCAAAGCAAGGAGGATTTTGTCCATAGTACTGCATACACTGTTTAGAGTTCAAGCCAGGGAAAATATATATATATATATATATATATGAATATGGATACTATCCACTACAGATATTAATATGGGGATTTTTGAGGGGTAAAACCATTCAAAACTCTTTCTCCTTGCTTTTTCTTTTAAAAACACACAAGACGCAGTCGAGAGCTGTGTTCATCTAACTGAGCAGTAACACAGCAAGTCTCACTTTGCCCGTCTAAGCATAATTTCGTATTTCTTAATCGATTTGCAGTCTCTTTGGTCTCAGCCTGGCAGCCTGCATAACTGCTCTCAGCTTTGAGGATGTCACCTTTTCTCGCTTGCACCCATGAATGAGATCATGCGGCATTCGTCGCTTGACATCTGGCTCTCTGCATTGAACAGGGTGTCTTCCTGTTCCACGATGCCACCTCAAATGCCAGGAGCTGGTCTTTCTTTATGATAGAACAGGCTGTACCACGTGTGCAAGCCACATGCCCCTGTTTGTACACGTTTGTGGGACGTAACCTTTACAGTCTCTGTGTGGAGTTGGTACACGTAAGTGACACACCTTCATTCCCTTTCATCCCCTCCCCCTCCTTGCTCCTTTCATCTATTGGTTCCCTTCCCACTTGAGAAAGATCCATCTCTGACCTCCTATGACTCAGTTATCTATGATTTTGCACTTTATTTATATTTTGGGTTTCATCTGATATGTAGGCTTGTGTGTCTGATTTATTTCACTCAGCATTATGACTTCAAGGCACACCCATTTTCCGACCAATGCCTCTACACCGCTGGTAAGAATATAGAGCATCCACTATGGTTTGTACCACACTAGAAGCATGGAGATCCCTCAAAAACTAAGACTATGAGTTCCATTTGACCCAGATATTTATTTGTAGGTACCTTCCCTAAACAGTTAAAAAGTTTGCAGTGATCCATTGTGCCCATGTTATAGCAGCATGATTTACAATAGGTAAATTTTGGAAATAATTTACGTGCTCATCAGCTGTATTTATACACATTTTCTCTGCATCTTTCCTCACACTCTCTCAAGTCATTTTTTAAGCAGCTCACCCTGTCAACCTTATTATGTAAGGAGAAAATCTTTTCATATCCTCTGGGGATTGTGGATGACATCACTGATCTGCACATGGAAAGCAAATTTGGGGTTAGGTTCATCGAATCACTGCAGTATGACTAGAGTAGTTGAGCTTCTGCAAGGATATCAGAACTATTTTGCAGCAGAAATAATGACATTAATAAATCCTATCCAGGAGACAGATCATATCTGGTCAAGACACTCTCCGTGCGTCAGTTTCCAGAAAAGGGGAGGAAGAATCACAGGATGACCTCTCCACAGAAGTGGCAAAGATAATTTCTGATGCAGACACAATACTTAAGTCACCTGCTGCCAGCCACACATCTGCTACGGGATTGCAAATGCCACAGGGTAGACGAGATTCAATCTTTCTCAATTTTTAACTCCAGTGGTGAACATTCTCAGCACCCGAATCACATACATAAATGCAGTGCTCTCAAAACCGAGCAACAGGACACCCGGGGCCCATTTCAGTAATTGGTCTCCTGTGATAAATCACTCTCGTGTAGACATTTATTGTCTTGTCTTTTTCTGGTCCAGCTAAGCGAACCACCTACGTGTTGGCGCTCATCTGGCTGCAGGGTTATCTCTGTCTGTGATACTAATGCATTCCTTATTTCTTTGAAAATGGTAATTAGTTCCACAGGAGGAAATAGAAGCCACAAGGTGATATAACCCTCATTGGGCTTTGAAAGAAAAAAAAAAAAACAAAAAACAAAAAACATGAAGCTGTTGGTCATATAACAACTTCCATGTAAAATAATTCAGGTCGAAGTTTAGTGGTTTCCCATTCTCCTCCTGTAGTTAATCCAGAGGGAAAGGGTGGAAAAACAGTATACCTTCATTTCAAACTGAGGTCACATTTCCTCTATTTAGAAGAATCTTGGCTCAAAGAAAAATGCTGTAGAAAAAAGGCTTTGCAAGAAAAAAAATATATGGCTGTATAACTTCTGTGCACATCAAAACCCACATGCAAATATTGATACCAGTTTGTCTATAAGATCCCAAACTTTGGAGAAAGCCAAGATGACACTCAACCAGCAAGTGGATGTATAAGGCCTGGAACTTACAGACAATGGAAAGATAATTTAGCCCTCAGAGAAATAAGGGAACTGGCTGTGAAAAGCCAGAGATGAATCTTAAATACACATTTTTAAGTGCCAACAAGTCAGTAAGAAAATTCAGTGTAGTATATGGCCTCCCATATAATCTAGAGGAGAGAAAGCCATACAGACTGTAAAGCTATCATCCTGCAGGAGTGAAAGACACCAGACATATTTTGTAGCAGAAATAATGAAAGATATCATATTACAGTGATCCATGAACATCCATCCGTGTTAATAGCAGCACAACTTGTAGTAGCTAATTCTTGGAAATAGCCTCTTTATCCATCGACAGATGAATGGATGGAGCATGTTATATGCATGCAATAGTGTGTAATACTACTCTGCCATAACAAAGGATAAACTTAGTCACTTGTAGGGAAACAGGTGCATTTTTAGACCATCATACGAAGTGAAATAAATCAGACTCATGAGCTTCCATACACATGGTTTCTCTTACATGGGAATAATCTTATCCCTATGGATGATTCCTAATGCATTCCCTTTGTTTAAACCAGATACCTCCTGTTTACTATCTCCCCTCTGGGATTTCATATTTTTAATCTCCAGACAAATATCCAGCTGCGTTTTTACACAGACTGTTTCAACTGGCATTTCTGGCTTCCATCTCCATCTTAATATCTCTCCCTGGACACAGCCTCCAAATTCCAATTTTTCAAACGACCACTGTCAGACATTTAACACGTCCTTATTCTAATTCCCTGCTCAGAATGACAACCTGGCTGATCATCTTCATCTACAACTGGGCTGGGATTAATACAAGAGAAAGCAGCTGAGGCCGTAATGCAGGTATGAGCGATGGAAAATCCAGCTCATTCTGCTGAGAAACTGTCAGATTTCTGATTTCCTTGGAGTCCTTCGTTCCCTCCAAAGACATGCTCCTCAGCTATGCAAGCTTATGCCAGAATCTTCTGTGGAAAGTCTGCAGCCTGTTAACTATTTATTTTTTATAAGATAGATCCTATCAAAGGTCTCACATATTTTTCTCTTCAAAATTCCAAACAGAAATCTCCCGTGGGAACAAATGATGCTGTATTATTCTTTCTCCAAGAGCAATAGATTGAAAGTCAGAGGTCCAAAAATATTATTCTTCAGTGAGGTTCTTGAGGTATAATGATACCAATTTATATAGGATGATAGTTTTGAATCACCAGTGGTGGGCTGCAGGAGAGCTAGGGTTAGGGTTAGGGTTAGGGTTAGGGTTATTCTTGCACTTTTTTTTTTTTTTTTTGCCCCTGAATGAAACAAATACAGACAATCGGGCATTTCAAGAGCACTTTGTTATTTAACTGCAGAGAAGAAGAGGCAGGTTATCAGCAGCAAAGGCTTTCTGATCAGTCATGTTACCATCCTAAAGAAGAAAATTTCGAAAAGAGGAAATCTGGACTCTTTCCCCCATAGAAAAGGAAGGCTAAATTCCAGCCTAAGAGTTCATTTATTCTAAGGATTCCTTCTACAAACAAGTTGCTTCTCAGAGTCTCGCAGGGTAGTAAACTATACAGGGGACTGTAGGGTTTCAAATGCACAGCTGAGATTCTAGGTCTTAATGAGCAAGAACTCGGTAATCAACGTCTTATTTAAGGTTCTTATTTAAGCAGACTTGTTTGTGCTTGAATCCCCAAGATTTTTTTAAAAACCTCTACATGGGAGATATAATGGACAAAAGCAGTGAGTTGTATTAAGGAATTGGCTACAGGGGCCGAAGATTTAGCTCAGCAGCATAAGCACCTGCCTTGCAAGCGCGCAGTCCTGAGTTCGATCCCTGGCACTAAAAAAACAAAAGAAATTGGCTGCAGAAGATTTGGGCTAGAGTCACCCTCAGGGTTTGTGCTGAACATACCTTAATTCCTACCATGCATTTAAAATACTACTTTGCCTCACTGAAGCCGAGGTACTTTGTGAGCTGGACATGGTGGCACACCCCTACACTCTCAGTAAATGCAGTGGGCTCAGGAATCCCAGGCCAACAGAGCAACTTAACAAGATCCTGGCTTTAAATAAAAAGATAAAAAGGGCCAAGGTTGGAGCTCAATGGTAAAGATCCTGCTTAGCATGTCTGAGTCTTTGGTTGTATCCTCCATAAAACAAGCAGAGAAAGAAAATAAATAGATTTGTGTTTTATTTTTCTTTCTTTCTATAAGGTAGGTGGAATAGACAACCTACTGGAGTAAAATGTTTGAAGTATGTATTTACATTTTCTGAAGCATTGGGCTCCTTAATGAAAATAAAAGATCCCCCTCCACACACACACATATTTTTGGTCCATTTTTACGGTGCATGATGTGGTGGGTAAAGGGAAGAGAACAAGGAAAAAAAGGA